CTTTAGCTTCGGGCCCATATTATTCAGCTTTGGGCACCAGCTGCTTGCTGCTACGGTGCTGATTTCTGCAGAACGCTCCCCCCCCCACCCCAGCCTCGGGCACCAATATTCAGCTGCTGCTGTCCCCCCAAGCCCCAGACACCAAGACTCTCCCTCAGCTGCTGCTTACATTTACACTCCAGCAGCAGCCTCCACTGCTCCCGCCTTGCTCTTCTTCACCTCCGCCTGCTAAAAAGAAAACCTCTTCTTGCACGTGACCAGGAAGGTACCAAAATACAGCATAAGTACAGGGGGGTTGGGGCCGGGACCATACCAACTCATTCCAAATGTACTGTACGGCCGTGGCAGACCCTGTAAGGGCCACTCACGGACACCTTGCCGATCCCTGGGTGGGTGTCAGAGTCGTTTCTTAAAGGAGACTGACTGGTGGATGAAAAGATAGTTAAATATACTCTTAAGCCTGAGTCATGGTGACTAAGCTTATATTAGCTGGTGTTTATAAATTCTTTATTAGTTAAATACCCTGAGCAACACAGAGTATGTAGCTTCATATTATTCTGCACTGCTGTATAAAGTATTGCTGGGATTTGTAGTCCTTTATAGCTGATGGTATTATACTGCAGTGCTTTACAATGTATTGCTGGGATTTGTAGTCCTCTATAGCTGATGGTATTATTCTGCAGTGTTTTACAATGTATGTGACACCCCTGGTTCCCTGACATCTGCATTGCTTTATAATGTATTGCTAGAATTTGTAGTCCTCTGTAGTTGGTGGTATTCTGCATTGCTCTGTAATGCATTACCTGGATTTGTAGTGCTCTATAGTTGGTGGTATTCTGCATTGCTCTGTAATGTATTGCTGGGATTTGTAGTCCTCTATAGTTGGTGGTATTCTGCATTGCTCTGTAATGCATTACTGGGATATGTAGTCCTTTATAGTTAGTGGTATTATTCTGCATTGCTGTATAATTTATTGCTGGGATTTGTAGTCCCCTGTAGCTGGTGGTATTCTGCATTTCTGTGTAATGTATTACTTTGATTTGTAGTCCTCTATAGTTGGTGGTATTTTATGAATAGCAATCCCATATAAATTGAAAAATCCATCTGGAAATGACACTGGCAAAAAGAAAAATATTAAGAAAACATTAAAATTCCAATTTTTGCAAGCTAATACATAAGACCAGTGGTTATTGCTAGCTGTATATAAAAAAAAGTGCTTTGAAATTTGCAATGGCATTTATGGTTGTAGTTAGGTTCGTTATTCAGAGTGTTATAGAAGGGAATAAGGAAAACTTTTGTTTGTAGACCAGAGCATTCTATTTCCTGCTTGTCAACAAATATACTGTGGTGTGGAAGCTGAAACCAAACTAAGCAAATAAAAACAGTGGAGTGAGTAACTGTAATACATCAGTGTTTGACAACGCTGGTATCTGTTTAGATCATGCATGCTAAGGTATAAGCCAGATACTTACTGGGCTGGCTTTTCAACTATTTCTGTGCATCAGGTGATTTGCAGAACCTGCCCTATATGTTTTCTTAGCACATAAGAAGTAAATTGAGTCATTATTTGCAGGATCATAACTAAATTCTGTGCATGATAGTGCAAAAAATGTGTACAAGAGAACAGGATCACATGCTTGGTTTATGGCCCTGGACACTGAAGTATTGCTGGTGATAGTGGCTATCAATGACACCTGGGCACCATGTATAGTTAGATTGTGATGATGGGAATTGGTCAGTAAAAGGATTGCTACGTCTGATTTGAGTGCAGGGAGTTATAGTGCCCATAGTACAGCAGCTACAATTACAAACAATTAAAGTGCAACCTTCTCCCAGGATAATATGTTTTTTCAATTAAGATGTAAATTTGATTTATACTTCAATTAAACCTGACACTATGATCTTGGGTACAAAATAACATTTTCACATAAAAGTAAGTACTATGTGCACATACTACATATTTCATATTCGTCTCTTTGCCACACCCACATCAAAATTCCCAGAGTCAGTATTTACACATGTAAAAATGTTCAGACCTGGCGTCAAGTTGCTCATCCACCATGTACTGCATTGCGGGATGCACTTTTGCACCACTATAAGGAAGCAGGTGGTAGCTGAGATTTGTGAGGCACTGTAAGTGCAACAGAGGTGGCTACTTTTAGCTGCTGTATTATGAATCACTGTGATATGCCGCACCCATTTGTAGTGCTAAGCACCTCCACCGCAAGACCATCTGTGCAATAAAAAAATGCCTAGTTGAGCACATGTAGGAGAGAGGGTTGGCAAGTGAGTGGGGCTTAGTGCTGTGGGAGGATGCAGCTTATGCTTCCAATCACAAATGTAAGATCTCTATAACAAAGGGAAAATATCCCAGACAGGGCACAGGGGGCTTTGATGGACAATAGAGAAGCCTACTTTTATTCAGCACTTTTAAAGTGATATTAAAGTCAAAAGGATATTAAGCCATTTCAAATGCTGATAAAATGACTTACATTGTATGCTGCGCCTTGATGTTTAAAAGTTGTAGTTCCCTGCAGAATCAGCTGGCCCCCTGAGCACTGATCCTGACTTCCTGTTTTAGAATGACTCCTTTTTCAAGCAGAGTGCTATGTAGTCACCCTTGTGCAGGGCAGGATTTGCTCTCTCTGTTGCCCCAAGGCCAGGTTCCTCAATGCCCCCCCATGGAGAATAGCAGATCTGCAGGCGACATCGCCAAGATCACTTGTACAAAGCAAGCGGTGGCTTCCCCGCTGTACAGTTAGCTTTGCTTGCCCAAAGCAGGGCTAAATGTAGAAAACAACTACCCGCCCGGCGCCTAGAACTGCATGTAGGAATTTTGTAGGAATTCCACACCTCTGCTGCCCCTTTACTCCCTGCTGCCCCAAGACCGGGCCTTGGTTGGTCTTGTGGGAAATTCGGCCATGCCCTTGTGTAGTGACATTCAGTTGTAGGCATAACTGGCCGCTTTTTACCAGCCCTCCCTTGACGCTGGGCTGTATGTATAGTCTTCTGACCATGCAAATTAACCCATATGTAAAGTCTAGTGGATTCTGGCACAACCTCTGCAGGTAAGAATGGCAGGAAATCATGGAGAATCCTAGCTTGATAACATTATCCTCACAGCTATTAACTGTTAACCAAAAGGCTGTTACCCCTATTGCGTGATGTTCTAGACACTTCAGGCTTTCCATAACCTGTGCAATTCAATATGTCCTAGAATTATCCCCATGCATTAAAGAACAAAAACACTGCAATTTAACAACCCATGATATCATGTGCATTGTGTTTAGTTTACAACTCTTTTATATGAGGTAGGAAGTGAAACTTGTTTTACTGAGCACATTATTCATGACATTTCTGTGCATACAGCTGTGTATGTAGCAATATGTACGCTTTTGGTCATTTTTCTCTTTTTTGTAAAAGATCATCTGTATAGTTTTGAAAAGGCAATAAATCAATTATGAATAATATTTTTTTTTTTTATCTCGTACGATCTGCCCATCTTGGACAGGCAGATCGTACTTGCGATCATCGCAAGCCCTCCCCGCTGAGGGGCAGGCTTCCGATGATTCCAATGCTGAGCAGGCAGTGTGCGCTTGCGCACACCGGCCGGTTCGGCATTTGTCTTCCGAGCACGCCACTAACCCGCCGAAAATCTTATGATTTTCGGCAGGTTTTCAAGCGTGCTCGGAAGACAAAAGACGTGCGACCGTATAGTAGAAATCGTACGATATTCGGCAGGTATATGGGCACCTTTAGAGAGACCTTTAGAGAGAACATTGCACCTTCTATGACCAACCCAGAGGTGTTGAGCCAATAAACTGAAGACTAGATAAATAATTTAGAAGAAATGTATCCTTATTGTCATTTGTTCTCCAATCATTTCTGTTTCACACCTAACGTTACTTTGATTCTCTCAAATATTTCTGTTAAATTGTTGTATTTTGTTTTCTGCTGTTCCTTTTTCTTTTGTTATTTTCTTTTTTTTCTATCATAATTGAAGTAAACCATTCAGCAGACAACACACTGACAATGACTTGCAGAAAAGGTGACAGACTACAATACCATAGCTGTAGTCACAAGGAAAGCATTCTACACAAAGCAGTGAACTTTCTGATCATAGTGTTAACTAGTTAAATATAAAACAGTCTGGAAGAAAGGTGTAATTTGTCCTGATCTAGTAAAGGTTATTGAGGTGTGAAGTTGTGTAAACATTATATTACAAGCTCAAATACACAAAAGGACAAACACAGGAGAGGTTAGAGTATATCAAAAGATGTAAGGCATTGTTTCAATATCACAAAAAGATACGCCCGCTTTGTCTATAAAAAATCCAACATATGCATCCAAAAGACCCAATCTACAACATGCCCAAGCTTATTTTCTAAATGCTCATACTAAAAACAGAGGCATCCTTATCCTGTTTTTGAGCTTCAGTGCTGTTTTATGCTCACGTCCTGCTATGGCTCACGTCCAGTGCGCTATTTTGTCACCTGTTTGGCATTTGCATTTTTTTTAAAGTGGAACTACAACCTCCTAGCCCTTATAGGCAAGGAAGGAGCCATCTTTGCATCTATTTGGATTGCAGTTTCCAAGGTGCTGCACATGTGATCAGCTATGACAACAATCAGTTGAGGGCTTGAAAGTTCAATTGAGAGCTTAAATAAGCACACTGGCAACCATGACAGTTAGCAATTAACATGAAGCTATTTTGCAGATGCCCCTGATACCTTATTGCAGAATTATATGGGCATGGACTCCCCGGGGATCTGACTAGTTTGCTAATTGTTTTCACTTTACTCTTCCGCAAGCACTTATTGCCTTTTTGTGAGTTTTACACTATATTGGTTAGAATGTTCACATTTATGTTTGGTTTATAGGTGGTTAGTGCACATTCTATAAACAGTTGTATCTGTTCATTTTTGTGGACATTATTATCATTATGAGTACTTGCCCAAATACTCGTAATCGGCACCGATATCGATACTAGTATCGGTATCGGTGTATCCCTACTATTATTATTATTATTATTGTATTTTGCATATATTTTGTGTTACATTCATAGAACACGGGTTCTCTCCAGATAGGTGCTATTGTTGAGCAACCTTTAATGTTTAAAAGTGCAAATTAGTTTTTATTGTAGATAAATTAGTTTTAATTGTTCCTTTATACATCATTTCAACTGGTATTTAACTTTTAGAGGGCACCTTGGTGGGTTAGGGTGTTATGTGTTTTTCATATTGCTGTATTTAATAAAAATCTACTTTTTACACAAGGAGACTGGCTGATTGCTTTTTGAGGGAATGGTGGTTTCATGTCTAGTTTGTCCTTAGCCTACACACAAGGTGGTACTGTTATAGTTTGGGTGCCTTCCATAAACATGTACAGGTGTGTGCTAAACAAATCTCAGACCCTACCTGGATGTACTTATTGTTCCAGGTTCTATAAAACCATCCTAACATACTATGCTCCAAATTCTAAACAAATACATTTTGCATCATATCCTCACACTTCTTCAGCACCATTGCAAGGGTCCAGTAACACTATGAGGGATCTCCAATCTCACTCTAAACCTTTGTCTAGACAGATCATCAAAAATGAATGACCAAAAGGCGGCCAAAGTGCAGTTACAACATGGGCAACTGTAATCTAGTATATGAAAAATATTTTATTTTATTTTAACAGTTATTTGAAACTTATAAGCAAAAACACAGCGCCACCAACGTTGTCATCATAAAAACACTACTCAAGTCCGGACCATATACACATCTTACAATAAGTAAGGGCTTATATTTTACTCAAATTCCAAATTACACTGCCTTCACAAAGTGCACAGTCAATACACCCTCCATTTCATCAATAATTATTAACACAGATGGTAACAGAACACAGCATGGATCAAAATGATCAGAAACCATGTATCACTTCCTAATTGTTGCTTTTCATGCAAGTCAGTAAATGTGCCCCAAAATAGTAAAGGAATGCTGAACAAGTGGCGCCCATATTGAGTGGGGCAATTCAGATTAATAATGTCTTTGATTAGTCTGACCCTAGTTCATTTTATTATTTATTAAAATCTGGAGTATGTGTATTTTTGAAATCCCGCAGGTGGCTTGAGCTGCAGAGAGGATCGTTGCAGTGCAGTGTCTGTGCTGATGTCCCCGCAGCTGCGCTCCCTCCTGTCAGCTCTCTCTCTCCTCCTGGCCGCTCTGTAGCTGCAGCGGCGGGGGGAGGAGAGAGAGAGAGCTGACAGGATGGGTCGCAGCTGTGGGGACATCAGCACTGCCTGCCACGATCCCCTCCGCATCTCATCCGACGGAACCATCTCCCTGCCCCGACACCCTTCGGTGGCCAGCAGCTTTAGGCATAGCAGGCCGGGACAGGCCGAACATTAGGCTGATTGTGTTCGGCCCGGCCCACCGGGAAAGTGCCCGGTATGCCCAACGGCCAGTCCGGCCCTGGTGTAAACCCAGTTCACCTGAATTCACCCAAGCCCACTCAAAACTGTGACTGTCAACCCCTTCTCCCAGCTCAAGCAGCTGCAAAGGCATAATTCTTGCCCCACAGCTACATGTCACAAAGGGGCAGAGAATGCCACTGCCGCAACTGCCACCACTGATTGGTCCTGGATGTCAGTCACAGTTCTAAATGGGCTTGGGTGAACTCAGGCGAACTGGGTTCGTAAAAAGTCCAGGCTCATCTCTAGTTCCTTGAAAAAAAAGTTCAAAAAGAGAAGGCAAAGGGTTTTGGTAGCTGTAGGTGAAAATTGTTTTATCCCTTTTCCCCTTGAGCTTAAAACTGTTGTGGGCTGTAGGCACAATGGGGGATTATGCTACTGCAGAAAGATGCTTGTGGTCTATTTAGAACTAGCATGCAAAAGGATGGTTGTCAATAAAACTATGACAACCTAATTTACGTACTACACAATAGTCTATACAAGCAGTCATGAATAACGGAGGCATCGCTTGACTTTGCTGAATAGTTCATTGCATACTTTTCTATTGTTTTATTTAATTAAACAGTTGTGGACTACTTGCAAATTAAATTTGTAGCCAAAATATACAAACACACAAAAAAGTTAAAAACAAAACTGAATTACCGTGCAATACAGTGTGGCTAGCTTTAGTTGTAAGCATCATGTTTCTGGTTGACATGTAGCCTTTACAATATGGCACACTACAATATACATGTAAAAATATATTTATGCCACCTTTGCGGTTTATTTCTGAATGGAAAGCCCATTTATTTTGTAATGCGTATCTCTGCGTTCAGCACACGAGCATTGGGGTGCCAATCAGGATGCTTTTCAGAGGGGTGGTAAAGTCTGCCTGTAAGAACTTAGCCTAAAATCTTTAATTGAACAGGGTTTTATATATTGATGGGTTTGGTGCTGTGCACTATTTATTTATTATTTATCACATATCAATTGTAGATATATAGCACAGGAGAATAGTACACATTAGGGCTCATGCACGGGTGTATTGCAGTGCAAATACAGGTGTATTTTCATACAGTGTAAAATACACCTGTATTTGTATAGCAATGTATAGACAGAAAGCCCACTGACAAACCCTGTGACAACTTCCACTTTCAGAAACTTACCTTCGTGCAAATGCTGGTACTGTTTGTGGGTGTACAACTGAGTGCAGGGTTTTCTGTCCATAAATTGGATAGCAAGGTATCTCCTCGTGTGTCATGTGTTGGAAACACACATGTAGTTCATCTGGAGAGCATGCTATCTTCTCATGGTTGTGGAAATACGCATGTAGTTCATCTGGAGAGCATGCCATCTCCTCATGGTTGTGGAAATACGCATGTAGTTCATCTGGAGAGCATGCTATCTCCTCATTGTTGTGGAAATACGCATGTAGTTCATCTGGAGAGCATGCTATCTCCTCATGGTTGTGAAAATACACATGCAATTCATCTGGAGCTCATGCTATTTTAGCAGCTGTCAGAATACAAAAAAACAAAACAAAACAAAAAAAACAGCAGATAGCAAAGAAGCTATTGCTTCCTGTGCTATCTGCCATCATTTTAGGGTGGTGCTCCCCCCCAGATAGAGGGGGGCAGAAGGCACCTCCCTGAAATTGCTTTTTTCAGTTTGGGATCCCTGCTTCAGGGAGCTTACAACCTAATGTCCCTATCTCAAATGCATACATGCAGGGCCAATTTAGACTGGAGCCAATTAACCTTCCAGCATGTCTTTGGAGTGTAAGATCTGCCTATCTTGGACAGGCAGATTGTACTTGCGATGATCGCAAGCTCAGGGGCGGGCTTCCGATGACCACAATGCTGAACGGGCGGTGTGCACCGGCCCATCCGGCTTTTATCTTACGGACATGCTACACACCCGGCGAAAATCGTACGATTCTCGGCGGGTTTTCGAACACGTTGCTAAGATAAAAGTTGTGCGACCTTACAGTAGCAGAGGTCGCACGGCTCCCACACACCTTACGATAATTGTACCATCGCAGGATTTCCCGCGATTATCGTACGATTATCGTACGATTATCGTAAGGTGTGTGGCCACCTTAAAACACTGGGAGAAGCACAGGGAGAACATGCAAACTCCATGCACATATTGTCCTGACCCGGATTTGAACCGGGGACCCCCAGTGCTGCAAGCCAGGAGTGCTTCGTTCTAAAACTTTCTCCTCATGACTTTGGATATACACATGTACTTTATTTGGATAACATACTATCTCGTGTGTGTGGAAATACACATGTAATTCATTCTAACTGTATACTATCTTCTCATGTGTGTGAAAATACACATGTACTTTATTTGGACAACATACTATCTTGTCATGTGTGTGGAAATACACATGTAATTCAGTCTGACAGCTTACTATTTTATCATGTGTGTGTGAAATACACATGTAATGCATTCGAATAAAATATTTGTATTTGTTGGTGTTTGTTGAAATACACATGTCATTCTTTTGGACAGCATGCTATTTCCTCAGGTTTTATAAATACACTTGTACTTGATTAGAGAGCACAGTATTTCCTCATGTTTGTGGACTCATGTGTTGATCCCAGTGGACACTATGTAGTAGATCAGCAGCCCCTCCCCTTCAAACCTTGTTAGGATTGTTGCCCGCCCCTTCTTTCTTCTCCGTACGTACACAATGCAGTTTCTGTCGAGCCTGTCGGAGTAGTTTCGCTGCATTTAAAGGGGAATTTACACTCAGCGGAGCAGACCGTCAAACGGCAGCTGTTTAAAACGAAAGGACACATCGTGCAAGAGATCAAAGCAGCCAGTCGCTTCCCTTATCCTGACAGGTGTTCTGTGGAAGGCCAAACTATGTGGCTGGATCAGGCTAATCAGGAGCGAATCCTGGGTTAACTTTCTCCGCATTTCTCAGGAGTGGATCAGCTGTCTCTGGATTACAAATCGCCTGCATTGCTGGATTAAAGGAAGGCTGTAGCACCTCCACTGCTCCTGAGTTGGCAAAGTTGCCCTTAGCCTCAGATACCCCCATATTGATCTGAAGGAGCAACATGCGGACCCCTGCAGCAATGATTGTTGGCATGGTGCTGGCCCCCTGCGGGCTGGTGCTGACCCTCACCGCTACTGTAGCACCCAATTGGCGCACATTGAGCAGCGTGCCCTCAAAACCCAGCGACTTTCAGTACTATCAGGGCATCTGGGACATCTGCCAAGAGACGACCACTAATCAGAACAAGCTGTGCGGACAGACAAACGATGAATACTTCCGTCTGGAAGTGGTGCAGGTTGCCAGGGGACTGATGATCACCTCTCTGATCGTCACTGGGATTGGCATTGCCTTGGCATCGTGGGGTGTGCGCTGCTGGGAGGACATACCAAACTTCCTCGCAGCAGCATTTGGTGGCCTTGTCATCTTCATCTCAGGAATACTCTCCCTGATCCCAATCTCTTGGTACAACAATAAAATATACCACTTGGTGTCCGCTGACATAACCCCAGCTAGTTCACCACCTACCATTTCTGTAGGCTACTGCTTGGCGCTGGGCTACATAGGCAGCTGCATGGAGATCATTGCCGGATTCGCCCTTATGCTCTGCTTTGTGCCACCCTGCAAGAAGTGCATGAAAAACAAAGGGAAATCCAAAGCTCCCATGTACTATAGCAAGAAACAGACACCTAACAAGAATGAGAAGCCCAGCCAGGTCTACAGCATCCAGAGCAGGTACAGCCAGGAGGACCACAACCCTAACGACGTTGGCTACAGCATCCAGAATGATAATTACCGGCATGAGAATGGAAGTAGGAAACCTAATTCTATCATCTCCAGCCCAAGATCCTACACTAACCCTATGGATGTGACAGCTGGAGAGTACCCCAGGAGCAACAACAGACCTGGGAGCCAGCTGAGTTCTCTACCTTGTGACTCCGATCTTCTGTAGACTGTTGGCATCCCACCTGCACTCTGCCCATTTGCACTATGGATTTATAATATCAGTTGCTATAATCCTGGAACAGGATGAATTATGAAGGAAAATAGCTCTGACTGTGCCCTGATTTTTTTTCTAACCTTATTTTTTTTTTATTATAGGGGTGTATGTTTGTTTTTAAAAGACTCCATGTATGAAGGTTTGCAGAGATTTGTTTTATGTATGATCATTTGGAAATTCAGCCAAAATGCATTTAGAACATCTAAATAATTATTTTGTAGTAATGCTCCAGGCATGTAAAAAAATTAACCATTGCAGTAAGGCTACCCCAGCACTGGAAGTGCTCGTTCGGTCTAGGGTCTAAAATAAAAAAGATATACTCACCTGATCCTCAGAGATGGTTGGCTGCTAGAGCAGTCCCTGCATCCCCTTTTCCCCCGGGCTTAAGGATCCGTGACATCACGTCTATTGACTTGCATTGGACTCGAGGACGCCGAGGAACATTCCACAGGTGAGTGTATCTTTTTTTATTTTAAACCCTAGAACAACATGAGTGTTTAACCCTTGCAGTGCAGTGGTAGCCCCACTGCAAGGGTTAATTGTTTACATGCCCAGAGCTCTTCTTTAAAAATAAAACTCAGCAAATTAAAAAAAAAACCTAACCATTATAGTGGGGCTACCCCTGCAATGCAAGGGTTAAGGACTTGCTTTGTCTAGGGGTTTTAGATAAAGCAGTTTTACTAACCTGACCCTGGGTCCTGTGGTGGTCACCACTCACCTCTCTCCCCCTCCACTCGGGCTATGGAATGTCACTCTGCATCCTCGTGTCCAATGCTGGTCAATGGACCTTCAAAGAGCCTAATATGTCCTTAGACTGCCGGAGCCCAGGGGTAAAAAAGCAGCGGAGACCACTTTAGTGGCCCGGTGAAAACTGGAGGGAGCCAGGATCAGGTAAGTCATTCTGTTTTATTCCAGCCCCTAGACCAAAATGAGCATTTAATTTAACCAGGGGTACCCCCACTGCAAGGGTCATTTTATTTTATTTGCCCTTTTGTTTGCTCTTTAATATTATATTTTGTTTACCATGTTATTTTATCTATTAGTCTACATAGGGTGTAATATACCAGGGGTGGGTAAATGAATATGGAATTCAGGAGCCAGTCTGTTCAATCCAGGAGCCAGAAGGATTTTTTTTTTTTTTTTAAGGGCCAGCTCCATTGACTTCAACTAGAGAAAACCTCAAAGGTTGGTCACCAGCTGGAATTTTTAAGGAGCATTGGCTACCTCGTTCCTGGAATAGGGGCCAGCTCCATTGACCTCAACTAGAGAAAACCTCAAAGGTTGGTCACCAGCTGGAATTTTTAAGGAGCATTGGCTACCTCGTTCCTGGAATTTGTTCTTCCATGCAATAAACTAAATGTAATTGCTGCTACAGATCTATGTAGGCGCACAAAAGACCAGGCTTAAAGGGATATTGACAGATTGCTTACAAAGCAGATCAATTCATTTCTCATTTTTGTGGTCATTAGTGTACATTATATGCTATCGTTGTGTCAAAGTTGATAACCCTTGTACTAGAGATCACAAACTTTATGAATGGTCCCAGTATGATACGGGTGTTAGATATTTAACTACAATAAACATGTTGCATTAGACCTGGTATTGATTTGATGCTTTTGAGGTTTACGGAAGTCTGTGAAATTGGTAAAAGGAAACCTGTCACGAATGAAATAGAACAGCAGCCTTTGCGGAATCTCCTGAAAGTACTCGTTTCCTGGCTGTTGTGCTGACTCACTAGTTTTCAAACTTTGAGTCACAGTCCTTGAAATAAGATTGTCAGCATTACAGCCAGGCAACTAGAAGAAGAGACCAGCAATTGCAGCTTCTATGTTTTACTCATGAAAGGTTCACTATGGGGAAGAATTTCCTACATTTAGCCTTTTATATACAACCTGCTCATTATTTTGTATCTCGGTAAACGTGAGAGGGCTTTGGATATTCAAATTCAAGCCTGTTGTCTGTTGCTGTGACAGTTCCTGTCTGCGTTTGCTCATGTCATTGACCAGTTATGACACAGGGAAGTCAATTAATGGCCACACACAGCTCCTGTTTTTTATTGCTCCATTTCTATTGCTCCATTTCTATATACAGCTTGACATACACCAGGGTTGGGCAACTACAGCCGTGCTTGAACTACAAATCCAAACATGCATCTGCCCCTGGGAGTCATGCCTGTAACTGTCGGTCTTGCAGTGCCTTCATGGACTTGTAGTTCCACAACAGCTGGAGGGCCGGATTTGCCCACCCCTGCCATATTATATGATTGTACAATCTCCTGTAGGTCTACCATCAAATATGTAGTTCAAGGTCCTGCCTGATTGGACACAAATTAAATGGATTGTTTAGGTTCAGCCTTATATTACATAGCTTTGGTAAATCTGAAGAAGATTGTGCAGAAATGGTATAGCGTATGGCCAGCTTAAGACATCGGGACTTCACAAACAGAGCCTGTCAGTATCAATGTGTTCTTACTTAGAGCTGAAATAACTTCCTATTACTCAAACAGATGCAATCTGAGGAAAGTTTAAATCTGATTGGCGGTTGGGAGCAAAAAAATGCTGTTCTAATGAACATTCTTTGAAACACTGGGTAATAAGCAATTGTTTATTATTATTTATTTATTTTTGTCAAGGGTTATTATACAAGTTGGCTAGATGCACATCAAGGGGAATTTGTTAAAACTTGAGTAGAGAGAATCTGGGGCAGTTGCTTTGCTTAATCAGCTTTCATTTTCAAAGTTTAACTGAACAAACGTAAGAGAGAAGCTAATTGGTTACTATAGGCAACTGCTCCACATTCTGTCTGCTCAAGTCTTGATAAATTCCCCCCCATAGTGCTTAATAGAGTTCTACTTTAAGACGGCATTAAACATCAGATGATCATCACCTGATGTTGGGATTAGGTGACATCTTGAATGTCTTTGGATCACCTCACACATCGGCAGGCACCTCTTTGTGAAAGTCTATGGGTTAATTCAGAATGATTCAAGTAGGACGCTATTGT